TTAAGTGTGGTGCATAGAGCCCGCTGGGCTCCGAAGAGGAGAAGAGAAGGCACCCAGGTCGGTCGGATCACTCCGCCGCGGGATTTTTATCGGAACCCGGACTAGCCCGGAATCCCGATCGCCTGCCACGTAACCGGAGCCCTTCTTTCGCACGAAGAGGACGGGTCGACCTGCGGTTTGCCCAAGGCTTCCCCGGCCTGACGAACATCAGTCCAAGGGAAGGAGGACTAGAGTCATCTCCAAAGGAGACGGCTGATCAAAAGTGCGAGCATGCATGTTCTTCCTCCAGGCCTGGCCTTGCCATGCGCCCAGCCACCCTCGAATCTGATTCGCTCGAAGGGATAGAGCACACACAAGTCCTCATTCCTTCTCTTCATGCTTACGTTCGTGGTCATGCGTCGGGCGCCCCCCTCGACACCGTATGGGTTTGTTTAACCCAATACCCGGCACCTCCACCATTTTTGTAGGGGCCGTACACTGTAGGACTTTCGAGCCTCGGTCGACCCCACTGCGGGTCCCATTTGGCTCGACCCGCCCACACTCACGCCCAGAGCGCGGGTTAGTTCGTCCCAGGGGCACCCCCCACCTAGTGCTATGAAATGGATGGGGATGGGCCTTTTTGCGAGAGGGCTTTAGATTGGGGGATGTAGCTCCGCTCTCACGTCAAGACGGTAGCTCTTTCGACACTCGTGGCGTTTTCTCGATTCAATTAAGTCTGACCAGGCAATTGCTCCTTCCAATACACAAGCAGTCCAGGGAGTTCATTGAAGTCTCATCTTCTTATCGTGCGCAGGCCAAGGGTCATCCATTGGGCCACGCACCTTTTCACTAAGCCTAGCGGCTCTCGGCAGCCCCGGCGGCATCCTTGGGGTAAGGCGGCGTCTCCCGGATCCCTACCCGCTATATTTTTTTGCGAGAACGACTAGCATCGCATCACCTATCCAATACCGCCCTTAGTCTTTTCAGGGGTCGCATTGCACAGGAGAGAGACATTCCATGCAACCTCCACACAATCCAAGTCCATGCATCAACCATCCACCCTAGCGCCCGGCCTCAACTCATCCCGCATCCACGGCTTAGGCCGGATCCAAGTCTTTTCCTCGGCCAATGTCCCACCCTAGTCCTCGTCCGTGGGTCCAGCCCCGTCCAAATCGTCCCTAGCCACTCACCTGCGCAAGACCACACAAGACAAATGACCAAGTACAGTCCCCATTGGGGTCAACACATCGCCCCCTTCCCGCAACCCTAAGTTGCCTTTGCCTTTCAATTCCCGTTACGAGTTCCCCTCACTTTCACACAGGCAAGCCATGCGATCACCTCAGTCATGCATTCCGGGAGGATGGTTGAGTCAAACTGACCTCGTCCAAAATCAGCACTCCTTCTTGCTTTTGCAAATGCTCTCGATGGTTACGTATCCTTTCCTTCTTGGTGGCACAAGGGACCGACAGCCCTTCCCTTGCCCTCGCTTTCCACCAAGTGAGGACTAAGTTCCTTTCCGTTCGTTCCTTGGCATTGTAACAGGTGAGGGTAGAGGTTAGTCACATGCCATGGAGGGGGAAGGGGTGACGGAAGGGTTAGGGGTTAAAGGGTTTTGGAGGAAGGAGGAAGACGGAGGGAGAGGGAGAGAGAGAGAGAGAGAGAGACAAGAAGCTTCCCCTCCTAATCGACCTTGCTAATTGACTTACCCTAGCCGATCCTATCCGAGGTCCCGTGCATCCCCCTTGCGGCCCCCCTAAGACTTCCGGAGGACGGGCGTGGGTAAAGGAGGAGGAAGGAGGGTTGATGGTGGCCGACTATGGTGGACGGGTGTGGGTGATGGAGAAAGAGNGGCGTGGGTAAAGGAGGAGGAAGGAGGGTTGATGGTGGCCGACTATGGTGGACGGGTGTGGGTGATGGAGAAAGAGGAAGGGTTGGAGGTGGTCGCCTATGGTGGACGGGTGTGGGTGATGGAGGAAGAGGAAGGGTTGGAGGTGGTCCGCTATGGTGGACGGGCGTGGGTGAAGGAGGAGGAAGAAGGGTTGGAGGTGGTTGGCTATGGTGGACGGGTGTGGGTGAAGGAGGAGGAAGAAGGGTTGGAGGTGGTTGGCTATGGTGGACGGGCGTGGGTGATGGAGGAGGAAGAAGGGTGAAGGTGGTTGGCTATGGTGGACGGGTGTGGGTGATGGAGGAAGGAGGAGGGTTGGGGGTGGTCGGATATGGTGGACGGGTGCGAGTGATGGAGGAGGGAGAAGGGTTCGGGTGGTCCGGCTATGGTGGACGG